TTATTTAACTTCAAAATATGTGTGGAAAGAAGGGACTCATGAATCGAAAAGGACTCAAATTTGGGCGAAGGTTATAATGTGATTCACATGTGTTATTATCCTTCTTTTATAAATTTTTATATTACATAGTTCAAATAAGAAAAGATTTATGATACAAAATCTAGTTGATTTTGAATTCCTAAATATTCGAAAACTAATAAATTGTTCTTTCCTAAATATTAGGAGATTAATTAAATGACTATTTTGTCTAGTGTGGATGTAATTTTTCAAAGGACAAAAAAGGCGAACGATATTTCGATAGGGCCTTCGTGCTTTTAATATAGTATAGATAGATAAAAGCTTCTCATTAAGGGTAAAGTAGGTAAAATGAAAAGTTTAAAGTTAAATTATTTTCAAATATAGAAATATGTCATTCTTTTTGGAATGGATTAATAAGAAAAGTGTGCCATTTAAATTGAAACGGAACGAGTAAGTTTTTTGCTTCATCAAATTAAATTTCGCTTACAACATCCTATAACTATGTGTAATAAGTTAGATATAGTAACCTGAAAAATAGAATATCATCATCTTTTATAACAAGTTAAATTACAGACAGAAGCAGATCTAGAATTTGAAGTTTATGGATTCATATCGTAATTTCAAATTTATACACAATAATAATTCAATTCACAATTAGTTATTTATGGATATTTAGTGAATTTCTTAATAGAAATATATGGTCTACGCAAAAGTTATTGATTTCCTAAAGATCCATATACAATGCTCTAGATTCGCTACTGATTAAGAGGAGATGATGTAAGAAAATTTCACATTATGTATAACTTAAACTCCTGATAATTTATACAGCATTTGTTTATTTATACTATCATGCATATTTTGAGCCCGTTTGGATTAGCTGATTTGAAGTAGCTGATAAGCATTAGGTGCTGAAAAGCACTTTTAAGTGCTGAAACTGATTTAAAAAATAAGCAGTTACGTGTTTGGATACAAATGCTGAAATTGATAATAAGTTGTTGCAGTTTGATAAAAAAAGTGCTGATAAGCTTTTTTCTGTTAAAATGACTTAAATAACCTTAGAACTGTTTACACTTATAAGGGCGTAATTTCTTCAAAATTTTAGATTCCAAATCGATTCAAATACAAAATATTCTATTTGTCATTTTATTTTAAATACGAGTGTGCTTAGATAAGATAACTTTTATGATAAATATAATTTATTTTATGATAAGCATATAATCATAAGTTATAATAATTAATAAATTAACAAAAGTTTCTCAGTAAAAACTAAACCTAAATAGGACAAATATTTGAAGAGAAACAAATATTGTCTTCATCACCACAACACTTAAAAAGCAATATACCAAAAATTTAATATGTCCATTATTACATACAATTCAATAATTTATACACAATCACATAGATACAAATATGCAAACGAATAGAGAATTTACTTATCTTAAATAGTCAATGAGAATTGCAGACTTGAGAGGCGGGGGGATTGGG